GGAGGGGCTGGAATGGCCCTGCTCAGTCAGAAAGTCTTCGTGTGGGGGTGGGGCTGTCTGAGACCTGCAGTCTGGAGCGGGCCTCGCTCCTTTCCACCCTCCCCAATTCTGCGGCTACTCCTGGGCCTCTGCCAGCAGGCCAGACCTCATGCCAGGGGACCTCCCCAGCTGTGATGCTGGCCGGGAGGTTCCCTGTGAAGGATCACTGCCTGGGCTGGGTGCCCGGCCCCTCTGTGGGAGGAGGGTTGCCCTCAAGGACGCTGATCTGCCCCTGAAGGCACACATACCTCAGTAGGCTGTTCACGTATATCCTTTCTGTGCCCTGGGCAATTCGAGACCTGGGTGCACGGGATCTGGTCTGCAGGTGTGACCTCTGGGCCCCAGAGTTCAATACCTAACCCCACCAGAATAGGAGTGCCAGTCCTAATTCACCCACAGGCAGCCCAAGCTGGGTTGATGTCTCTCAGCCTTAGGGTCTGCCCCATTCTCCTGGAATCACCGGGCCGGTAGCACCTGGGAGGTCTGGCGGGTAGGGAGCTCACCTTCTGAGTTCCCCTCAGTCAGCTGTAGGGCCCCAAAAGGGAGGATCCCGTTCCCTGGAGATGCCTCCGGCTGGTGGCTATAATGTATCTCTTGGCAGTGAGGATAGGGAAGTGGGAGGGGTGAAGGAGGCAATATGGCGCCTGCCGCGTGGCTCGGGTCTGTGCACATGGAGGTGCCCGAGGGAGTTGGGAGCCTGGTGCTGTGTCCACTACAGGCTTACCGCTCTCTGGCGGCGGCCGTCTCTGGGCTGGTGTCCGCAGGTCTCTCCACCCGCTGGGGAGCCCACCAGCAGTCCGAGATGCAAGGGAGGGGAAAGTTAACGGCTCTACCTACCCGTGCCGCTGGTCTCCAGGCTACTCGGGAGGTCTCTGCTTCCATTTCTCCTCAGAAATTTATCTTAACATGCACTGCAACATAGTGACATGCTGTCTCTATGAAAAATGGAAAAACTAGCTGGACATGGTGGCAAGTGCCTGTAGTTTCAGCTACTCTGGAGGTTGAGGCAGGAGGATCACTTGAGCCTGGGAGGTGGAGGTTGCAGTGAGCTGTGATGATGCCACTGCACTCTATCCTGGGCAACAGAGTGAGACCCTGTCTCAACAACAACAACAAAAAAAAGAATATCACAGAAGAGCCTATTCCTGCATCTGTTTACCTTCAGGGACCTTTAATTTAAAACAATCAGGTGCCGTATTTTGGGGTGAAATTCCCTGGGCTCCTTCAGGGCCCTGCACAGCACTCTGGAGTCTCCCCTGCGCAGCGCTTCTCTGCCAGGTTCCTTAGGGCTCAATTTGAAAACTACTGGCTTAGGGCCAGTTGAAGAGTTTTACAAAAAATGGTTTATGGCCGGGCGCGGTGGCTCATGCCTGTAATCCTAGCACTCTGGGAGGCCGAGGTGGGCAGATAGCTCAGGAGTTTGAAACTAGCATGAGCAAGAGCAAGACCCCATCTCTACTGAAAATAGAAAGAAATTAATTGGCCAACTAAAAACATATATACAGAAAAAATTAGCCGGGCATGGTGGTGCATGCCTGTAGTTCCAGCTACTCGGGAGGCTGAGGCAGAAGGATTGCTTGAGCCCAGGAGTCTGAGGTTGTTGTGAGCTAGGCTGATGCCACGGCACCCTAGCCTGGGCAACAGAGTGAGACTCTGTCTCAAAAAAAATGGTTTATAAATATGTTTGTCAGTCTTTGTTGAGAAATGGCACTTCGGCTGCTGTGTGTATGTAGGCATGTTTCCAGAACCAGTGAGTGGAAATTAAGCTCATGTTTAGCATATGTCATGGTCCTCTAATGAGTTGAAAGCAAATCATGTTTCTAAAAGCATCTAACTTTTACGCAAGAGCCAGCCTTGCGTAGCAATGCTCAGATTTGCCCTTCCTCCAGAATTAGTCGCCTCAGGTGGGTGACATTCACAGTGCTTAGCTGTGGGCCAGCGGGGACCCTGCCTTCTCTCATTCAAGCTAGCACATCCAAATGCAAGAAATTCTAGATCACACTCTGTCAGGTGAGCCAGTTTATGTTGCTGTAACAAACAGTGCCCACAACACAACCTCAGTGGTTTATTAGTACACTAGATGTTTCCTGCTGGTGCCCCACGTGTAACCCAACACCGGTCAGTGCTTGTGGGAGGGCTCTGCCCGGCGTGGTTCCTGGGGGCCTAGCCTGATGGAATCCTTGTCCCAAAGGGCGCTTCCTCAGTGGCCATACAGAGTGGTAAATGCCATGGACACTGCAGACTCAGAATCGGGGAGGTTGGGAGGGAGTGAGGGAAGAAAACCTGGGGCAATGTACACTATTCAGGTGATGGGTACACTAAAAATCCAGACATGACCACTATACAATTCATCCATGTAACTAAACCCTTTGTACCCCTAAATCTATCAAGGCAAAGAAAGGTTGCTTCCTCAAACAGGCAGGGAAAGGGAATGTGTACAATTGTGACCTTTCTCTTAAAGCTTTTGCCCAGAAATGACATGTGTCACTTTCTCTTATTCACCAAAGCAAGTCACATGGCCAGAGAAAGTTGTAATAGAATGTCTGTGAATGGCCCTAAATGGTTAGGAACATGGTTAACCACAAGGGTTAACCATGAATCTGCTCTAATTGATTAAATAAATAAATTCTTTGCAAACTTCTGTGCTTCACTGCTGGCCTAAAGGAGTGATGGGTGAGCCTCATGACCGCAGCCAAGGCTTCAGGGAGTGGGGGCACCGCTGTTCCGAACGCTGGCTCTCCAGAATGGGAGAAGAGCTCTGGGCTTTCCCTCGGGCTCTGTATGGAAGTGGGGAGTACCTTCTCCAAAGCCTCTGGAAACCTGGCATTTTCTGCTCATTCAACTCTGACGTGTCTTCTTAATACTGAATCGAATGTGGGCAGGCAAGAGATTTGGAAGACTGTTTTTTTTTGAGACAGAGTCCTGCTGTGTCTCCATAGCTCACTGCAACCTCAAACTCCTGGGCTTAAGTGATCCTCCTGCCTCGGCCTCCCGAGTAGCTGGGACTACAGGCACACACACCTTGATGCCTGGCTTATTTTTCTAATGTTTTTTTTTTTTTTTAGTGAGAGAGGGCGTCTCACTCTTACTCAGGCTGGTCTTCAACTCCTGACCTTAAGGGATCCTCCCACTTCGGCCTCCCAGAGTGCTAGGATTACAGGCGTGAGCCACCGTGCCTGGCTGGAAGAGTCTTATTGTGAGAGAATAAACTTTTTTTTTGTAATTGAGCCAGAAAGTTCTGATGACCTAAAATGAATTTACATTCTCACAAATATATTTGTAGATAATAAAACTTGTGGAAGCCTAAGCAAAAGTCTGATGTAATTTGCATTCAGATTTCTATGCAATTTTCTTTCTCTATTTCATTCTCTTTGGTTAGAGATAATCTTATCTTGATATTGAAGGTGATTCAGGATATGCCACCCCAGAATACACCACTTTGGGATAAAGGGTTGTTTTGAGCTGAAGACAACTGAGAACAGATGCAGGAAGAGTTTGCTGTCTTTGCTGCCTAAACACAGGGCATAAATTTCCCTTTGTGAAGGCAGCCCCTTCTCCTGTACTGGGAAGAGGAGATCAACTCTTATTATTGGAACCAAGAGTCAGCCCAAGATGAGTCTGCATAACAAACCCTAAAATAACCCTTCTCTTCCATTATTTTCCCTCAGGTGTTGCTTTCCCACAATTTATTTGTCCTTCAAAATGCAAACCCTCTTTCCTGTCAAAATGTTATGTATGTCCCCCAGTCTAACTGCTTCTTTGAGTTTTACTTTTCTGTGATCTCCCGTGCACATAAAATATTAATTCGATTTGTATTCCTTTTCTCCTCTTAATCTGCCTTTTGTCAGTTAAATTCTCAGGCCCCTAGGTACTGAACCTAAGAGGATAGATTTTCCTCTCTGGCAATTTGTGTTTATGAATTATGACATGGGTCTGGTGCCGTCTGCAAGGATCAAGTGCAGGTGGGCGAACCACATCATGGCTCAGCTGTTGTTCTCCTTCTCGTCCCCTATGTCAGAGCCACCCAAACACTTCTATTCTGGTGTTTTTTAAAATGGAAATTGGAGAGAAGATATTTCAAAAGAATGGGAAGAACAGTCTTGGAGGAGCTTTGCATAGCAGGATGGAGACCTGCCTTGCCTTTTTGATGGACAGGGCACTGTTAGGGCACCAGATGGAGGTGTCACTTCTCCCTTGACCCCTCTGGCCCCAGTCACAGCCCAGCTGTCCTCTTCCAGCTACACCCTGGGGATGGCCCTGTTTACCACAATAGGCAAAGCCAGTGGGTGGGTTGGGCAAGTCACTCCCCTTACAGAAGTCAGGGCTCACCAATTATTATGCAATTTATCAGTTAGTAAAAGAAAGGGCTTTGCAGTTAAAGGAATATGGTGAATGTCCCCCTGGTTTGGAGCCATTCAAGATGGAGTTGGACCCACCTGATGGGCTGGATTTGTTTTTGTCTGTGGGCAAAGCAGAGGAATTAACCATTCACTAGCACAAAGGAGGGAAAATATGCCACAGAAAAGTGGATTTGGTTAGGGAAAGGTAAAACAGGCAGGCTCGGAGGCCATGCTGCGAGTTTCTGAATAATCATTCTCCTTTTGTGTTCTCTTCGCTAGTTCCGACCTTGCATTCAACTTGGAAGGCTATATTTTTGTGTTCCTGAATGATGTCTTCACGGCAGCGAATGGAGTTTATACCAAACAGAAGATGGATCCTAAGGTACCAGGTCTTCCTTTCTAGACTTTTAAGCTTCGTCCTCTGGGCCCTGAAGTTACCTGGAAAACAAAAACAAGTGTGTGTGGTTAGCGTGTAACTTAATTTATGTAATAGGGTCTATGAATTACTACTTTCTTTTCATTTCCTTTACCTGTATAAGTTCTTGTTATTCCTCATCTTGCAAACTTTTGGGTGAAAACTAAATAAGGGAAAAGATGCCACTGTTTTAGATGTATACTCAGAATATATAAAAAGGGGATTATTTTGAAAGACAAATTAATTTTTTTTTTTTTTTTTACCAGTGTCATCAGTGATCGAGGCAAAATCAGAGGTTGTGATGTTTGTTCTGAGAGCACTCATTTTAAAGTCTGGAGACGTGGGTTACAGGCTCAAGTTTTGCTAGTTACTAGTCATTGTGACTTTGAACCTTAACTTCTCCAGACCTCAGATTCCTCATCTGTGGAATGAGATGATTGGAATGGGTAATTTGTAAGGTCCTGTCCAGCAGTAACCGCCTCTTCTGGTCATAAGGGGCTGGGGGCAGATGAGCTTTTCTTCCACGTCGCTGCCTGTCACATCAAGGCCCCCACTCGGCACCCAGCCCCAGCTGTTACAGGAAGCTTGGGAGCATGAACCAGGCATATGTTTCTTTGTTCCAAATTCTTTGTGTTGAGTGAGGGAGTTCACTCTGACAACAGGCTTATTTCTATGAGCTATTTTTTTTTTTTTATCTGTGCTGATTTTTTTCTGCATGGCCATTTTTTTTTTTAACGGTGACCGTTTTACAAAACCAGGTTTGTTGCCTTTTGAGAATCACAGTATGTCATCCTTTTAAAAAAATGGTGGAGAAGTGGTGTAGCCACTTAAATGAAAGTAAATATAGAACATTGCTGTTCTTTAATGGGAAGAGCAGATGTTTTTAAGGAGTTCTGTTTACATTAACATTTTTATGTTCTTTATTTTCTTGCAGATTTCTCATTTTGAATAACATGCTTTTTAAAAGAAAGAAACCCACACAATTAGAGATGGATAGAGCCTTGGAGGCTTTCCATCTTCATCTGTTTAATCTGTAGTTTTGGTGTAAAACAATGTTTATTCTGAAATCATAGACACTTGAAATGAAGCATTTTATATCAGAAATTTGCTGAAAATATTTCAATACAGAGTTGATCAGAATGCATGTTATAACTCTGCATAATTATGCAGTTGTATAAATGGCTGCATGAAATCTGACACTTCGTGTTTCTAAAATTGCGTGGGGTTTTTTTTTGCAGGAGCTGGGGAAATACGGAGTACTTTTCTACAATGCCTGCTTCATGATTATCCCAACTTTTATTATTAGTGTCTCCACTGGAGACCTGCAACAGGTGAGCTGATGACAATCATTAGTCTTACTCAGCCATCTTTTTAAATTTTAATATTGAACAGTTGGTACTCACTGAGATTAAAAAGTGTAAAGGTAGCTAGAATTACCAGGAGGGTACATGAAAGCAAGATGTTTGATTTCCCTGCTAACAGCTCTGGCACTGCCCTTGCATTGGCATTGATGTTTAGCCATGTGGGAGGCATCCAGGAGTGCCAAGAGCTCTGGACTTGAAACTTTTTGGAAAACAACAACAATAAAAGTCTGAGTTTGAGTCTCATTACGCCCCATTGCTGATGTGGGGACCCTGTGAAAGCTACTTACTCTAGAAGGGCATTTTTGTAGTTTGAAAAAAATGGGTTTATGTATTTATTTGTCACTTTCTATTATGGATGTTTTGAAACATTATACAAAGTGGAGAGAATAATTCGATGAATTGCCACATACCCACCACCCAGCTTCAATACTTAGGCATTTTACCATCTTTGATTTGTCTGTTCCCCACTGGAATATTTTAAAACAAATCCTAGACATCATGCCATTTTACCTCTAAATATTCCAGGATCCACATTTGAATTTTGGGAAGGTATTGTTCTTTCAGTACTTGCCCTGGTAACCATATCTACAGACAAATAAAGGGTAAGTTAGTAGTAAGATGCTAGGCCCAAGCTCTTACATTAACATCCATGACAGCCACCTTGGAGGGTGCAAGCTCTGACTTCTGCAGAAAGTTGCCAGTAGTTTAAGGGAGATGTTTAAGCTCATGTGAGAAAAAAATCCTGGTTCCGCAAGGCCTCCACCCACAGACCCAACCCTGGACTGGCCAGGTGTTAACCCTCTCATTGCTAGACTGGGGCTGGGGGTTTGGAGGGGCCCTGTGCAGTGGCCATGGGCATGATAGTATTTCTGTATTTAGCAGTCAGCATAGGTGTGTGGTGCATGCCAGTTGAAAGTCAATCCCGCTTGTAGCCCTTTTAGGGTTTAAATGACTTTGGAAGGCTACAGGTACCTGTGGACTCTTGGGGTGGATGTTCTTTCTCAAGCTATGCTTTCTCATTTGCACAATTCCTTTCCTAGAAGGAGGGAACAGCAGAAGGCTTAGCAGCCAAGCCCCCAGGGTAAACAGCCATTTTGACATGTTTATATTGAAAACCACCAAAAAGCACCAATTGTGATAAATGGCTATTTGTTTTGCATTAATCAGAACACTATAAACTGGGCCTCACTGTTAATTCAGCATGTTGGAAGATAGAGCAGGCACCCTGCATCTCTCTAATAAGAATGAACAGGGCAGAATATATGAACACAAAATATTTATTTTTTAGCTGCCATCAATTGATTTCTTTTGAATTACTGGAGTTTATCTGTTCTGAAATTCTGGTGTTTTATAGCTGTTTCAGATACATATTTAATTCCAGAAATAGAAATCTAGAAACTCCTAGAGACTGTTAGAATACCTGATTGGGACTAAAAACATACTTCCCCATAAGAGCAATGTTATGAATAGCATAGTGACCAGAAACTGAATTTTAGGTAACTTTTGAGTAAAATAAACTAAGTGTATTGTGTTAATAATTTATGACATTGTTTAAATAAAAATGTGTGTTCCCACATCCAAGTCAGTGACTTATAAACTTGCAGCATGGTGTTTTTAGAAGTTACTACCTGCCTGGAATGATTATCACACATAAATTATTAAATTGTGAACCAAATGCAATAAAGAAGTGAATTTATGTAATTAGGTATGTTAGCCTGCAATATAAAATTGTGTTTTATTTGCCAAGTTTGGTTTGACTGTACCAAAAGCTGATGGATGAATTACAGCAAAGTATTAACTCCTCTTGTTAATGGAAAGAGAAATTTCATGAGTCATTTTCCTGGTTGACTGGTACTAGAGAGATGGAGAGGATCAGAGATGTGGTAAAACTTGTGTGCATGACTCACTGCTCTGGGAATTCAATACTGAGACTTTAGACTTAGGAAGTCTATAGATCCATTAACAGTACCTTGATTCTATCTCTGGTTAACAACTTGAGACATGACAGCTGCTCTTGTTAACAAATTAGGCCCTTGGAAAATACTCAGTGGGTGAACTTGCTTTTAGTATGTGAATCACTGCAATAGGTTCGAAGTACATCTGGTGTGTTACAGCCTTACAGCTGACGAATGGGGATAAATAGTAGGACTTTTCTGATTTAAAAAACCCAAAGTGCAAAATGAGAAAGATTCCTCCTCCAGCATACTTTTGCTGCAACAGTAAGTTTAAAGGAAGAAGTGCCTTATTGTTACTCATCTTTATTTCCTGATTTAAAATAAATGTCATGCTGCATTTTTTAAAAATGCCACCAGTATAGCCTTATTATTAAAATAACAAAATAAATATAAGTACATAGTTGTTTTGTTTTTTTTTTTTTTCTGTTTGCATGAATACTTCAAACTTTTTGAGAAAATAAATGTTTTTCTACTCCTGGTTTGAAATTTGGGACTTATGTATTTCCCTTTTTCCCAATTTTATTTTAATTTCAGACATTAAATGTTTTCCATACCTTTAGTTATTTTGTTTTATTTTATTTTGGTCTTTGGCTGCCTTAGCATAAACTTTTTGGCTTTAAGTCTCTTGGATGTTTTCTGCCCCCTTGATTGGCTTGGGACTTGCCAGTAAGACAGATTTATATATATTTTATGTTTTCTTTCACAAGTAAGCATTTAAAAAAAAAGTTTCGTGATACATGGAAACTTTCAAACATATGCAAAAGAAGAGGGAATAGTATGACAAACCTCATGTACTCATCGACCAGTTTCAACAATTACCAATATTTAATGTGTATCTTTTTGATAAGAAAAGTGGACAAGGCATTACTAATGAAACAAGACAGTACAAAGTGACAAGTTTGTTCTCACTGGAGAAGAGAATTGCATTTTAATTATTTAAAAAATTTGAATTATAAACTTAAAGAAAAGATTTCAATAGTTTTAAACTAACATTTTTTTAGTTAGTTTTAGTTAGTTTTTAGTTAATTTTTTTAGTTAGTTTTTACTAACATTTGGCTAACAAAGTATTGCTTAATAGAAAGTGAGTAGAACTTATATTTCATCATGTTATTCAGCATATACTTATATATAGTCTTGAGTCACCTTAAAATCATTTTTGGGTCTGGGTGCAGTGACTGACTCATGCCTGTGATCTCAGCACTTTGTGAGGCCGATGTGGGAGGATCCCTTGAGCCCAGGAGTTCAAAACCAGCCTGAGCAACATAGTGAAATCCCATCTTTACAAAAAATTAAAAAATTAGCCAGGTGTGGTGGTATGCCTGTAGTCCCAGCAATTACAGAGGCTGAGGCAGGAGGATCGCTTGAGTCCAGGAGTTGGAGGCTGTAGTGAGCTATGATTCTGCCACTGCACTCCAGCCTGTGTAACAGAGTGGGACCTTGTCTCAGAAAAAAAAATCCTTTTTGGATGCAGGCAAGGAACAAATCATTAATAAAATACTCCCTTTTTACTGTTACCTACCATTTCCAGAGGGTTAATTTTATTTTCTCAAGTAGGGATTAAATTCCTGGAGAATAGAAACTGAGTCCTAAACTTCTCTGTCTACCATCTCCTCCACCCCAATTACTTGATTGCTTTGTAAGTAGTGAATAATAGTTTATTTGTTCACGATACTTTCTGAGCAGGTGCAAGTGCTTGCAAACAGCTTATGAACTTAAATTTTCTTGCCTACATTATTAAGAATAAACTTTCTTCTAAGATTATTTATAAAAAGTAAACCCAACCATGAATTTGGGACTACAAATTAGTAAATATTTGTAAAATAAGCAATAGCCTCAACAATAGCTATCATTTTGTGCTTGCCACCAGCAAGGTTCTAAACAATTTCATTGAATCTGCACATCAACCTTTTGGGAAGGGTTTTTGTTTATTTGTTTTTTTTAACAATCCCCATTTTGTAAAATAAACCCGAGGTTCAGGGAAGAAAAGTAAGTTGCCCAATGTCACACAACTAGTATTACCTAGGATTTAAAAAATTATATTTCCTGTTTGGGAAAGATTTTTAAAATTATATTTTCTGTCTGGAAATTGGTTCCTATATGAAAACACACAGTTTGGTAAAATCAATAGAGTTAAACTGCAGTATCATGACTCTAATCATTAGTTTTTTCTTTTTGATAATAGGCTACTGAATTCAACCAATGGAAGAATGTTCTGTTTATCATGCAGTTTCTTCTTTCCTGTTTTTTGGGGTAAGAAACCATAGTAAGTAGAAGCACTGGTTGATGGTATCTCTTGACAAGTCAAATCAAAATATACCTTCTGTCTCTTCTGCAAATTCCCTTTGTCTGCATTTCTCTGACTTTGTCTAGAATGTTCTCCTGCAGCAGAGCTGACTGGGACTCAGGACACCTGGGAGCCTAGCCTGAAAGACCAGGAACAAGCACAAAACTGTTTTGTTTTTGACAGTCATGTTAACGTCCCCTTCTACCCCCAAAAATGATGTTGCCTTTTGATTTCTGATATTTTGTCTGAAATGAAGTCAAGCTGACATCTCAAATGCAGCCCTTAGGTTTTTTTTTTTTTTTAAGAGATAAGGTCTCACTATGTTGTCCAGGCTGAACTGAACTGAAACTCTTGGGCTCAAGTGATCCTCCTGCCTCAGCCTTCCAAGTTGCTGGGACCACAGGCTTATGTCACTGTGCCAGGCAGTACCGTGTTTTTGTCTTTGTCACGATGTCCTGAGTTCTTCAAGATCCCTTCCTCAAATTATTATGTAGCAATGACAACATTTTCTTACAGCGCTGTACCTGGTATATTCAAGGATATTTCTGAAGAGAAATGTTGGGGCTCGTGAGTTGTCTAACAATTAGGCTTTTACCCTTGAAATTTTCTTTAGGTTTGTGTCTTCCTGTTGAAAGGCCATGTAGTGTCTGTTTTAATCTTCTAAGAACTTGAGAATTTCCTTGCATGGATAGATGATACATGTAACTAGTAAATAATTCAAAAGGTGCAAAAGAATAAGTTGGGATTACTGGCTGCCTTCCTTTCTTCCCTGCCTCCAGTGCCGTAGTTTTCCTCATTAGAGGCAACCACTGTTGGAAGACGTCCGTGTATCTTTCCTGAGCTGGGCTGCCCTCCCACCCAGGCACCACTCTCTCATCCATGCTAAGAGGGTTTCAGAGTTAGGGTTTCAGGGAATTACTCATTAAATGATTTTTTTCCTGTGAAGAAAGATAAATTTCCCCTCCCCCCTTTTTACCACAATTTTTATTATGTGTAAATAAACTAAGATAACTCATGATCTCTTTAATCAAAACACTCTTCAGTTCTCAAACTTGATTTTAATTGCAGTGATGTAGCCACATACAGTAAAGACATTTGTGGGTATCTCCCATTCATTACTTCTTTCTTTAGCTTTGTCTGATTTAATGTTTAACCTGTTGATGGAGTTTTGGATTTTAACAATTTTATATTTTATTTATGAAAGTTCCACATCTTTTTTTTTCAAACTTATCTGTCCATTTCTAACACTCTTTGTGACCATACCTTTTATCATATTTCTTTAAGTGTCACACACATAGCTATTCTATATTCTGTATCTGACAATCCCAATATCTGCAGTTCTTGAGAGTTTAGGTATTAATATATAGCTTGTTGTTTCAGGTGACTGTCATTGTGGTCTGCTTTATTCTGTGTCTGGTGACCTGTGATTGTAAACCTATTGCTTAAGCTTGATTGGTCCTGTGGGCTGGAAGGGGGAATTTGAGAATCTGTCCTGCAGGGACAAATTGTTTTTGCCTCTGCTGGTAACCAGGGGTTGCCCCAGACCTAGGTCTTTTCAGGCCTTTTTGAGAATTTGAACACAGTGTCCTCCTTTCCTCCCCCCCCCCCCAGCTTGGCGCAAGGCTCAGTTTCCAGCCCCTGCCGTGGTTCTGCCACCCAAGGAGACCCCATGCTGTTCTCACTGTCTGCTGTGCTGCCTCCTGCCTGGCCCTAAGTCCTTGTCACTCTGGACTCATGTACCCTCTTTTTCAGAGGAGGGATTTGGGGAGACTTCCTTTGCATCTTTCAAGACCAACTGTGTCTCAAATAATGTGTCCTTTCCAGGCACTGGTTGTTCTGCAGCCCTTTAGACTACTTAGCCATTGTTGGAGGCATAAGTTTAGTAAAATAACTGTAGTTTTTCCAGTTGTTGACTAAGGACATTTAACCTTGAAAAAAAATCTACTAAGCCATGTTTGTGAGTCACCCTTTGTCACACCATCTCTTATTTTTCTCTGTGACTGGAAAATAAAAAAGTCAACTCATACCACACAAGTCAGGCTAGCACCTTTCTTTAGCTAAGGCCATATTCACCTGGGAACTGTAGTTTCAAAGCCTTCTCATTTCATTATAAACTTGATGAGATACTGTTTTGTTGTTATTTTTTTTTAAACTTGCACTTTACCTTTTAACCATTCAATGAAAGAAATCAAGAAGTAAACACTCTGAGCTCAGCTGAACTCTCTGAGTGAAAGGTTGGGCAGTCCCTGCTGTGAGCTGGGAGCTGTCGTTCTCTGGGGCCGCCCACCCGAAGCTTGGCCCCATCTGTGTACAGTTCCATACATTTTTTTCCCATTTTATAATGTGCTTCTTAGCAAACAAATACTCTTGATGAGAATTATCAATACATTATCAGTAGTCATTTTTTAATTGAAGATGTCATGAAAGTATACTAATTATAAATAAATTGGTAAAAATCATGAAATCATTAACATTTCAGGTTTCTCCCAACTTTAAGGATGAAAACTAGGTAGATGTCAGTTTTTAAGTGGGTCTTCTGAGAACACTAAAATCATGGCATCATTCCAGTGGTTAAGTGCCTGGATTCTGGAATCAGCTAGCCTGGGTTTGAATCCTAGCTTTGCCATTTATTAGCTTGGAGTCCTTGGACAAGTTACTTAACCTCTCTGAGCCCCAATTTCCTTATCTTTAAAATGGAAACAATGAGCTAAAATACCTGATTCACAGGCTGGGGTTATGTGAATGCATTAATAGCATAGAGGATATAGAACTGTTCTAAACACAGAAAATGCTCAATAGAAATACCATTATTGTTAATATTTCCGTTTCTTGAGGACAGCCTGTTTGATTTGGCTATCCTCTTTTCACCCCAGATTTAACTCTATTTCTTGCCTACAGCATCCACAGTTTTTCTTCTGTTATATATATTTTACCTTCTATGGTCAAGTTTTAATTCTAAAACTGTTCTGCCTTCAATTTTGGCATGCTGAAGTTTTCAGAATCCTGCTTTCTTGCAGTTTTTCAGTCAAAGGACACTGCAGTAAGATCCTTTGTGTCTCCACAGTAAGCTTCTGAGCACATCCTTGTTTTTCTGGATGACTGGCCCTGGGCTCGGGCTGTCCCTTGTCTCCTGACCTGTGCTACGGGGCATCCCAAGTTAACATGTGCACATCGAGCCCCGGATGCCAGAGGAGCCTGACTCTGCCTCTTACTTATATTCACCACTTTCAAGTTTGCATTTCCAATTTGTGTTTTTCCAACCACCAAGCCTCTATTCCAAGTTGAAAATATAATTTAAAAAAGTATTACACTTTAGAAAAGTATTTTAAGAAACCGATAGAATGGTGAAAGGGTTAGTGCCAATCATAGTCCCGAAAGACACTATCCAGAACACCATAACTCCAAATGTTGACATCTCAAAGGATCAAAATCTCTAAAGGCTAAAATCCCCAAAATCCCAATCCCGAAAGATTAAAATCTCAGATGTTAAAGTCCTGAAAGCTGAATTCTGGGGGAGGCATTGCATTTTTGGCAGTTTGCAGGACAGTTGCACTGTATTAGTTGCATCACATTACGCTGAACTGTTACTGTTTTTATTTGGAAATTAAATATGGTTTAAAGAGATGCAGATGGGTGCCAAATTGAAAAGGGGGGTAGATGTGTGGATTTCATTTTAGGTGTTAACTTGACTGGATTAAGGAGTACCTAGAAACTGGTAAAGCATTATTGTGGCTGTGTCCGGGAGGGCATTTCCAGAAGAGGTTACCCTGTGAGTCTGAGTACATTAGGTGGGAGGATCTGCCATGTATGTTGGTGGACATGAGTCAATTGGCTGTAGGCCTGGATGGAACAAATACGGAAGGTGAATTGATCTCTCTCTGAGGGCTGGGACAGACTTTTCTTCTGCTGCCTCGGACCTCAGAACTCTAGTCTTGCCAGCCTTTGGACTCCAGGGCAGCCCGGTGGGTCCTGAGGCCTTTGGACTTGGAGTGAGCCATGCTACCAGCATCGCAGTGTCTCCAGCCTTCAGGTGGCCTATCTAGGGACTTCTCAGCCTCCACAATCGCATGAGCCAATTTCCCTCATAAATCCTCTCTCATGTATCTATATACATATGCTATTGGTTCTGTCTGTCTGGAGAACGCTGCCTAATACAGGTTTGGTACTGGGGAAACTGAATATCACTCCTTACACAACACAGTGCAAGAGATCTGTGAAATTGTTCTCTTGCGAAAGGGCTATGATAAGTTAAGTGTACAAGGCTGCTTAATGGTGAAAGAGAAAAGTTTAAAAGCTAATTATTATTAGTGCTGTGAAAGCAGATTGCTTAACTGTAATGACTGAGCAATAACCAGGCTTTCAATGGACAGCATATACTTATAAAATTGGTAGACCACAACTGCTGTCCAAGTACAAGTGCAGGGAGTGTTTCGGAGATCATAGAAGTGAAAACATGGACAAAAACCATAAGAAATCTCCCCTGCCAAGTTATTCAATGCTGTATGACTTTTGCCTCTTAAAAGATATAAATAAATGTCTTTTAAAGAATATTTTTAAAGTATTTTTTTCCAGAAATATGTTTTCGGGATTTTGGTCTTTCCAGATTATGATTTTTAGAATTTAAGACTTTAGGGATTTTGATCCTTCAGGATTTCAACATTATGGCCCAAACTTGACAGAGCAGACTTTTAATTTTCTGTTGAGTTACAGTGAAGGACTCAGTGTTAGGAAATGGTACTATGTGTAATCAGGAGTTTGTAAATAGAACATATGATGGAGTGAAGTTGCTTCGGGAAGATAAACTGGATTCAGAGAGCTAAAATAAATTAGTGCAGTCAAAGTAAATTATAGACTGGAATTTAAGTTGAAAACTAGATTTTTTTTTTTTTTTTTTTTTTTTGAGACAGAGTCTCACTCTCTTGCCTGGGCTAGAGTGAGTGCTGTGGTGTCAGCCCAGCTCACAGCAACCTCCAACTCCTGGGCTCAAGCAATCCTCCTGCCACAGCCTCCCAAGTAGCTGGGACTACAGGCATGTGCCACCATGCCCGGCTAATTTTTTCTATATATATTTTTAGTTGGCCAATTAATTGCTTTCTATTTTTAGTAGAGATGGGGTCTCGCTCTTGCTCAGGCTGGTCTCCAAACTCCTGACCTTGGCAATCCTCCTGCCTCGGCCTTCCAGAGTGCTAGGATTACAGGCATGAGCCACCATGTCCGGCCTGAAAACTAGATTTTTTTAAAGCTAGTGCTGCAGGTCTTTTAAATCTTGTTGAGAAATTACAGGTTCCAGTTCATCCGTACCAGAGGAGAGGATTATCCTAATCTGTGTCTGCCCCGATAGCAGGCTCTTTGATCCCACTGAAGCAGTAATATATTCCTTAAGCAAAACATGGAAGAATCAAACTTTTCCTACTTACAGCATAAAAAATATTCTAATTTTTGGATCTTCAACTCATACTACTGAAGATGCAGCATACAAGAGAAAGAAAGCAGGGTTCTGCTGATGGTGTGGGCACAGGGGTGACAGAACCTGTAAAGAGTGTGAGCATTTCGATCATCTCCCAGAAAGGCAGGCTTAGTGGAAAGTTGATGCACCATAGTTACCTCATGACCTGGTGCATCTCTGGCACGCCACTGAGCCCTAGGGTACATAAGTTCTTCCCAGAGATGGGGAAGATGAGGTTACCTGAAATTCTTTGAAATCTGGGATTATAAGAGAATAATGTGTTTGGGTAGCATTGTGGTTGGTAGAAGTAGTAGAAAAGTGGCCTTTTATTATTTGAGCATTTATGTTCAATTTCTCTACATGCTTGTGCAAGGAATGGCAATCAGTAACAAGTAATAAACTTGGTCATTTGAGTTCTGTTTGTGATTGCCATGAGTGTACCATACAGCCTTGGGTAAATCAGTTGGGTGTTTTGGGACCATTTTTAGAAATACGAAGAAACCTTTGGGCAGAGGTTCTGGTCCAGGGATTTCCACCTGGGTACCCTCACCCCAGGCACCCTATGAGCCAGAACACGCAGCTGGCTTCTGCTGCTAAATAAATGCTCACCAAATATATGTGCTATTATTTTTCAAATGTACATAGAGGATATAATGATTTAAAAATACAGATGGAAAACGTTACTAAGAATTAAGCAATGCTTTTAAATATCTTTGCATTTTATTAATCCACAGATGCTAAAACCAAAACCAGTTACATGGAGGCTGACATATTTGGTGTTAACAGTGGTGTGGTTTCCCTTGTACTGAGTTAACAGACATTCTTTTAGTTCAGAGTCTTTGTCTTAGCACCGTACAGGTACTTATTTGCATACAGAAATAGATTCTTTTTAAAAAAATTAATACTCTACTACTTTGGTCCTACTGGTTTTATATTCGCACTCTCTGGGGACATCTAGTGGGTGTGTTGGGAAGTGCATCCTTTCTGCCACGCTGCCGTCTGTTGCTTAGGAGAGAGGGATTCTCCTCCCCTGGCTCTGCCCGGCTGCTGAGTGGACGTCCTAGTCGCCCACATTCACGGTAGATGAACGCTGGGATCTTAGATCTGTGGTATTGATCAGTTCTGAATGCAGGCCGAGGTAGTTTCATTAAGATGTAGGTGGAGCCAGAGGCGGTGGCGCGCGCCTGTAGTTCCAGCTACTGGGGTGACAGATGGGAGGATCCCTTGAGCTCAAGAGTCCAAGCTGGGCAGCGCAGAGAAACACCCTCACCCCCGCCATCACCCCGCTTTCTTAAAAAACAATAATAAAGATGTAAGATGGAGAAAATGTTGCATGATTGGAACAATCCTGGAGTGGGAATTTTTAAGCAAAATGAAAGTAAAGATCATCCATGGTTGACCTTGGTTTAGGGCTGCTCTCAAATTTAGGAAGGCTACAGAAGCTACTCTGTGCCCCCTCAGTTGGGCTAGGACCCCTGCGCCACCTGTCTTTCATTTTATTAGACTCTGAGCTCCCCAGGGCAGATGCTGTGGATAATCTGCTCTGACTACCAAGGCCTGGCGACTCGGTGACACCAGGTTGGGTCTTTAACAGTTTTTCATTTTATGCATGAATAAGGAGCTCCAAAGGCTCTAAATTAACATTAAATTTATTAAAATTGTAACTATTTTAAAAGCCTTAGAGTTCAATTTATAAATTCTATTGCTTTATTTATAAAGCTAGTAATTTTTCTATGAAAGTAAGAACATTTACTTTTTTATTTGATTAATGGCTTATTAACTCAAGCTTAACTGATTAAAATCTCCTAAACAATTTACTGTTAATTAGTTCCATTTACAACTTAGTGAATTAAAACATTTTAAGCTGCATTTACAAATGTGATATGCCTGATTTTTCTTCAGCAGTTCCAACCCCTGAGGGTTGGACCAGCAAAGCTAGTAGATTGTTTTATGTACTTAAGCAACTCTTTGAAATCTAATAAAACCAAGCTTGGAAATGTGGTAAATCAACCATTTAAAAAGCATTCAATTACTGTGTACAGTCTTACTCAGATTCTCTTACTCCTTTCAAATTAAAATTGCAAGTCTAATGTCAATTACACATTTCAAATTAAAACCACAGTTTCTTTAATGTGTCAAATTATTTTAATTATCTTAATAAGAAATGCACATATTATTCTGAAGATTACAAAATTTAAGTTTGTAGTTAAGTTCATTCCTTAACCTGATATAAACCTTGATGCACTTTATCTCTACTTTTTTTTCCCCTCTGCCATCCTGGTAATAAGCATACTCAGGCCAACAAAGGTTGTGATGTTGAAGGTTTGTGACCCTGATTCTGTTAGTAACAATCAGAGATTTGAGCACAGATAGAATCTGAGACTGGGTGTTAAATTCTAGCAGGATGGCTTTACCTAAGCCCCAGGGGCACTGAACCCCTTCTTAGAGTTGAGTTTGCTTTGCTCTCTGAGGTTTCCAAGCTCCTGCCCTCTACTTGGGATTTAGCTTTAAAATCCCACACATCTTGTGCCCTCCATGTACCTCTCAAGTTTAATTCGCAGCGAGTTTTGACTGTAATCCCTTTCAAGATTGAATCATCTGATTTAGATGGGTGGAATTTTGCACTCCACTTACGTTGTAGCTAGTTTCCTCCACTGCTTGATTGGAATAACTCATTTCTTTACCTCTGACTGGATTCCACATTCTTTTCCTGTGTGTATGTTTTCTTGTCTGGTGTGTGTTCACAATTCTGTAGTCATTGCATTGACAAGTAAGTGTCCATGCTTAATGTTAAATGCCTGAATTAACTTTGGAAATAAGGTACGGGAGAGTTATTGACACGTGGAGTCCATTCATTTCCATCTCCTTTGTGCAAAGCTAGCGATCTTTCAGCCGATTTTCCCGGCTGACACCAGCCAGCAGCCCTCAGCGCTGGCGGCACGTTACGAGCTCGTTACAACCCATGAGCTTTCCTGTCTCGCACAGCCAGGGCTGCAGCTCCAGTCGGTTGAAGGAGAACCTCTGCCAGGCGACGCTGTGTGTTAAACGTGCAGCAGGTGATTCTAATGCACAGAGAGGATTAAAAACCACTGTTGTAACATGTATGTAAAAGGAAGGATTTCAGGTGGATCAAAACAATCTCATTCTCCTCTCCCACGTTCTGTGGAAACACTAATGGGAAATGCACAGAGAAACTGAGAAGGGTACCTCGGGTAGGTTTAGCTAATGCACAGCAGGCCCACTTTCCTGTAATAAGACCAGTTAACAAGGTGTCTTAAGTTGGGGGTTATAGAAGCCTTACGATACGTGTTTCTTTTTATTTGCTTGATGTGCTTTATGTGGGTCACTTGCTGATCTTCTTAACCTGTTGTTCTCACCCAGTGCAGTCAGGCGCACACTCAGATGTTTGCTCCCTTGCCTTAGGTTTCTCCTGATGTACTCCACGGTTCTGTGCAGCTATTACAACTCGGCCCTGACCACCGCGGTGGTAGGAGCTATCAAGGTAAGTGGACCGAGCCTTGGAAGGAACTGAGCCGGGGACTGTGAATCCAAACTTTCCGATAGAAGCCGAGTTTGATTTTGTTTTTGTCAGTTGTGTAATAAGAAGAAAGGGAGGTGGTGACATTTTCAGATGGGCCTGGATGAACCCTTCTTCTAATCTCCTATTGCATAGAACAGAGGGACAACTTGCTAATTCAAAGAGACAAATGGTAACTTTTAAATTAGAGGTGGCTGGGAGGGGTGGTCTGAGAAAATGAAGTAAAAAGCTGAAAAAAAAAAATCCAAATATCACTGATCACCAAGATGCCTTTTAATCTATGATTTGGTTTTCTGGGAGAACCTGACCACTAAGAAATGGAAACCTTGTGAAAAACTGTTTTCCATCTAGGTATATGCTCAATTGTAAGGTGACGAACATGTATGTTTGAACACACACACACACACACACACACACACACACACACACACACACACACAAATGGATGAATAGGGGGTGGAGGTGTTCTGAATTCTATTCTACACTTGCTTTGTTTTTCTATTCACATGGAGTCTTTGAGTGAGAAAAACTGCCTGCTCCAACAGTTCACCATCTTTCAGCTGCCCAGAGTGCCCCTAGAACGTACTGGGCAGAGCACTGTGTGGAATTTATTAGATGTTGCTACTCTGTTCAAGTTTAGGGTCACTGTGATTAAACTGTGATTAAACTTCACCACCCAATGAGGGTAAAGAGCTAGGATCTGGTGAGCTAACTACAACCCAACTCTTTCATCTTCTGTCTGTGTACTAATAGGAATGGTTTGTGGGGAGAGGGGACAAATAATGCATTTTTCTGTTATTAACATACCATAACTTCACTTCTTTATAAAGCCATATGTAATTTTTTATTCATTTATTCAACACTCTGTGAACATCTATGTCCAGGTCTCTGTGCAAAGTAACTAAAATGTCTAGTATCAGGTTTCCCTATGTATTTGTATTTTCCTCTAAATGCTTTACTTTTAAATTAACTAATCTCTCTTTTTCTGCAGAATGTATCCATTGCCTACATCGGGATGTTAGTTGGTGGAGACTACGTTTTCTCTGTGTTAAACTTTGTAGGGTTAAATATTTGGTGAGTGGGCTTTTTAAATGAACTCATTTTAGCAAAATAAGAAGTTTAAATAGCTTTATTAATATGTAATAAGCAAAAAAGCAAAGAGGAATTTAACATTTTAAGCCAGGAGGTGTTTTGACATCGTAGTTTCTAAAGAATTTTACTTAAGTCACTCAGTTCATCTGTTTTTTGAGACATACTTCTTCACGTGGATCCATTGGGGACACATGTAATGAAAACTCATGGGGCTGAGATCTGAATTTAATTCGTGTGTCTTCCTCACAGAAAGATCCCCTAAGTTTTCTGTCTTTCTCTGGCCAAGTGGGTCTCATTAAACCCATGCTCTTTCAAAATGCCTTATGCTAAGGATGCTGTGAGGATTGACTGAGACACTTTGGAAAGGCATTTTGGGGTCCCAGATATAGGATGCTATTTAATGGAACATAGTTTATTCAGTAAAAACCAAGTGATTATTATTTCTCTCCAAGGTTCTGTATTGGATTTGATTACTCTTTTTCTGAGCTTCAAAGGTTTTGTAAATAAGAGGGGAAATTCTCACCAAGTACTCCACAAAGTTGAGGAGAAAAACAGATCTGAATGATGCATTCCAGATTCAGCTGACTGTACTGATAAAAATGCCAGCAACTGCTGGTGGGGGCTCCTATAAAATTCCGAGTTATTTATTTTCACTTTTTTTTTTTTCTCCTTTCAGCATGGCTGGGGGATTGAGGTATTCCTTTTTAACTCTAAGCAGCCAGTTAAAACCTCAGCAACCTGTGGATAAAGAAAATATCCCTTCAGATGTGAAGAGCCAGAGTCTGGCGCAGAATTGCGGACCGATTTGAGACGGGGGACACGTGGTGGGGGATCCCCAAGAAGGGATGTGAAGCCAGAGATTTCAGACTTGGGACGTCACCCTCTGGTTAGGCACAAATGGGAATGTCTGCAAAATGTCTACCTCATATGCACCGCACGCGAGCTGCCATCAGCCCTGAGAAACGTATCTGTGCAAAACCTTACCGGCAGAAAGTGTATCTTCTCAAAATAAGCCACTGGGACTTGGTAGGTAGCATGCTGAGCGCTCACTACAGACCCGTGTGGCCCCTTGGCGCAGTGCCACGCGCTGAAGGAAGGTCAGTGTTTCTATCAGGAAATAGAAACAGTAACTATTTCCTTATCAGCACCTTGGCCTTAATTTCAAAGGTCCCAGCCAAAGCACATTTCCAGTGAGGACAGTTTATTTCAGTTTAAACAGACAGTCTTTATTTTAATAAAATTAGCCAGTTAACTGCCAGTAAAGTTATTTTTTTTAGCTTTGATATAAGCTATGTTGGTATCTTTTCCTAATCATCAAAGTAAAATAAAACATCATTTCTATGTATGCCTCATACTGTGATGTTATTGTAAGCAGGCAGAAGACAGGAAGTCAGTTATTCACAATGGAGAGGAATATTCCATCTTGAAGGGATAATTGGACACTGCTTTTATGACTCATGCTGGGAAAAATTACAAAGTAACTCAATGGAAGAAAAATACTCAGGGTTCACCCTGTCAACATTTAAGTGGCTCATCTCTTTATTTCTCCTCATTTCCCTCCAGGTTCCTTCAAGGGGCTTTCACCAAAGGTGCATGATGTCCTCAAAGGCCAGCCCCCTTCACAGAAGGTGGCAGGTGGGAAGGTGCCCTTACTGGATAGGGGATCCTTTACCCTCCCCGTCAGGACATGGGCTGTCCCCCTAGGGGTTGGAGTGCAGGATGGAGCCCCAGTCTGGGAGCCAGACTGACTAGTCTGTCACCACTGTTAATCTTCAGGAACCTTCCCAAGTCCCTTTGCCCATTGTGTGGCCTCTGCTTGGCTCCTGTGAATAATGCTGTTATGAGTGTGGGTGTACAATACAATTATGAGTATGGGTGTACAAATACCTCTTCAAGATCCTGCTTTTCATTTTTGTTGGATATATATCTAGAAATGGAAGTTCTGGCAATTCTTTAATTTTTTGAGGAACTGCTATACTGTTTTCCATAGTGGCTGTACCTTTTTAAATATCTATCAGCAAAGGTTCCAATTTCTCCATATCCTTAGTAAAACTGTGGTTTTTTTTTTTTTTTTTGGTAGTAGCCATCATATTTATTTTAATTTAATTTTTTTAATTTAGAGATGGGGTCTTGCCATGTTTCCTAGGCTGGACTCTAACTCCTGGGTTCAAGTGATTCTCCCACCTCAGCCTCTCTAGTAGCTGGGACTACAGGCACAGACCACCATGCTTAGCTGTGTTTTGCATTTTCTTAACTAATCAACTAGTGGTATTGAGCATTTTTTCATGTATTTGTTGACTATTTGTTTACCTTCTTTAGAGAAATATCTATTCATGTCCTTTGCACATTTCTTAGTCAAATTTTTGTTTGTTGTTGAGTTGTGAGAATTCTTTACTGTTTCAGTATACTTTTAAAAGGATTCTGGACTGTGACCTTGGGTCTCCCAAAAAGTTATTCTATAACTACCTCCTGTTGCATCATCAACAATCTTTCTGAAACCCAGAGATCAAAAACGCTAAGCAAAACAAACAAAAACTTTTTTTTTCCTTCCAATTTTTTGTAACCTCTAATTCTCATTCTTGGAATTCTTAAAAAAAAAAAGGATGTTTGTATTTTAGGACTTTTCCTCCTCCTCCCATGTGTGGTCGGCAGAGGGCACCCTAAGAACAGCCCAGCAGCCCTTGTAGCTGGGATTTTTGCTATACCTATGAAGAACCCATTCCGGAAGGTGTGGTGTTGAAGGGAGCTCTGGGTGGGCTTTTGAATCGAGGTCAGTCGCGGGTGCTGGATGTGGAGAGGTGGTACAAAAAGGATCTGCAAGCCTCAAGTAGGCTACAGAAATGTAGCCCAAAGACCCAGGTCTCCAGATCTTTTTTTCCCCCCTACTAAAAACATTGTAAAAACCACTAGTGGATAGGGCAAAGACGATTAGTTTAATTTCTTTGATATTATATTTTGCATACTTATGGCCATTGTACTGCAAATAATAGTCATACCAGTTATTAACTTGAACTTTTTTTCTGTTGTTTTAAAATTTTTCCATATAATATATCTCAAGTTCAGGGGCACTGGAATTTTTTGACAACTGAGTTGCTTAAATAATAGCCTAGTTTAGAGAGTTTACCTCTAGTTAGTTTACCTTTAGTTAGTTTACCTAGTTTAGAGAACTATTTTAAATATGCTTTCTGTGACTGCAGGAAAGTAGGAAGATACATTTGTCAACAATTTCAAAGTCTTTACTTTTTCCTTTTGTACTATCACTTCCATGTTTAAGGTTTGGTTACTTGGACTCGTGAGTCATTGTTATTTTCTGTGAATGGACATGTGTACTTGTGCATACATTTTGTGTGCTGGGTAGGTAGGCTTGCCAAAGGTAGGCAAGTTACCTGACCAGTAGTTGCTGCTCCATGGTAGCTTTCAGGAAACAGGTGCCCAGCAGTTCTGAGTGTCCATCCAGGTTTCCTTTCTGTCATTGGATACTGAAGCTTACGCAAGTAGAAAGCATGCCCCTTTAGGATGAAGCCAGAAAACTCCAAGCCATTCCTGGAGACTTCAGAGTCAGGAAATACCATCTGTGTGCCTTCTGACTCTTACCTCATTCCAGGTTAAAGTTGCCACCATGATAAGCCCCAGAACCTTCTCTCTGCAATGTGGGGTCTCTGTACCACCAGCAGCATCACTAACTGAGGGCTTATCAGAAATGCAGAATCTCAGGGTACATGTACCAAATCAGCATCTGAATTTTAACCCAGGTGATTTGAGAAGCACCACATAGCCCAAGCTACTGGTCCAGACCATATGTTGAGTAGTAGGGGCTCTTAACCTGAGGTTCACAGATAGAATCTAGTAGTCTGAACTTAGATGGGGAAAGAATACATCTGGATTTTTTCTAATCTTTAACCAAAATTTAGCATTTCTTCCATTTGAATACAGGTGAACCTAGAGTAGTAGTAGCTGTACTTCTGACTTTGTTACCAATGAATATCAGATATTTTCATAGCACATCATAATTTTTATGGAAAAATTATTTATCCCCTGTTCATTATTCTGATTAGACTCTCCATTAGTTGTTGTTATTTTAACATGTTTATAAAGAAGCATATTTTTAGTACATTGTGTTAGAAAATATTGTGATAACATTTTTTTGTAATTGGTTTCCTTTATAGTTCTATGTATTTTATTTTATGCATTCAAAAACTATTCAAAGAAGGAGGCCATCACTAGCCTTCAAGTGTGGTCTATGATAATGCCTTAGAGGGACAGAAATAATTCAAGATTAATATGGCCTCTCAGGAAATCACTGCATTTTTGGCCTTTGTGTCAGTGGAGGTTTGCTCCTTGAATAGGTGTAGATGAGCTGAGGGAGATTTTAGCATCTGCCTCCTGATGGGGTCATCGTCCAACCTTTTGTGTCCAGTGTCTGCAGCTGGAGGGCCAGAGAGAGAGAAAAGGATAGGGCAACTAGGCTTCACTGTCATCGCCTCCTTATTCAACGGCCAGAAGGGAGATGTGGATCCCCAGTTGTGCCACAGCACAGAGCCTTATTCTTCAGATTCTGTGACTGCTTACCTGGAGTGTAATGTTAAAAGCCTATGAAGAGGTGGAACAGCAGCATGAGGAGCTCTGTGGATTTGTTGTCCAGTGAAACAAACAACGCTGATGAAAACTATAAAAACACAACCATTGAAAGTCTCTAGAAATTGTGAGGGCATACAGCAAATGAAGAAATATTGATTCAAGTAAACCTTCTGAAACTGGGTAAGAACAGTAGAGTCTGTGTCCTTTGAGATTTGACCCACTCTCTCTCTGTCTCTGTCCCCTCCCCCAGCTCAACATGATGGAAGCCCCACCTCAGGAGGTGAGGCCAAGAAGATGGGGCTAATTCTCTTCCCAGTTCCCAGTCAAGGGTTACCAGTTTTGACTGGGAAGGGCAGGCTACCAGAATTTCTCATTCTTCTAAGTTGAATATGTTCAACTCTTGGTGAATGCAGCTGAAGGGACAGGGGCTTCCTCTACCAAGCCCCTTTCCATAAAATGGAGGCTCTACCTCAGGTACAATAGGCCAAGAATATTGGATTCCCAATCACCCTTGCTCCAGCTTGCTAGTATGGCAGAGGGCCGATGTCAGGAAGAGGCAAGACGACAAGACTAGAGGCTATCACCCTGCCCAGCACCCAGAGTGGTGGCTCAGAGCATCTGCATAGGGAAAGAGGCAGTCTGTGTAATAAAGGATTTAATCTTGCCCCCAAAAGATGTCTGGCCTTTGCCCTCAGTTTTTTGGAATATATCTAATAGGAGTGTTTTTGTTTGCCTGGGACCCTTGTTAGAATATTGTTAGATAGTCTAACAATGATTTTGGATGGGGGCTGGCCATATCTGAGTTGGGGCTGGCCACATCAGAAAGACCAACAGTGTGGTTTAGGGTGGGGTCTTTGAGTGATGCCTGAGGGCTCTGCAGCTAGGGACTGAGATCATCTGGAGCTCCAATAAAAACTGTGAACACTGAGGCATGGGTAAGTGTCCCTGGTTGGCAATACTCCATGCATATTGTCACACATTGTTGCTGGGAAGGTGTGTGTCCTGACTCCATGGAGAAAGGACAACGGAAGCTCCACATTTGGTACTTCCCCAGACCCTGTCCTATGCTTTCCTTTAGTTGGCTGATTTTAATCTGTATCCTTTCCTTGTGATAAACTGCAACCACAAGTATACAGCTTTCTGTGAGGCCTGTGGGTCCTCCTACCAAATTATTGAAACTGAAGTTGGTTTTGGGAACTCCTCCAATTGCAGCTGGCATCAGAAGTGAGGGTGGTCTCATATGGGCTGTGTGCCCTCAAATATTTCAGTTGTCCAAACTCATACAAAGTCCATTAAAAAAAAAAAAGAACTCCAAAGCACTGCCCAAGGGAACTGACATTATTTGAAATAGAACGTGGGGAACATTCATGCATAAGAGCACTCTTGAAAACAATGCTCCTCTTAATTAAGAGCAAAAAGCTAAATCATAGTTCAGTTAGTTCACCGGTGAGAACTAGGGAAAGAGACGGCTAAGAAGAGCTCTCATGGGGATCAGAACAAACCTCGAACTCTGGCCTCCATAACTACCCCAGCTAGAATGTAATTGGATCAGACTGCTGAACAATTTATGCTCCAGGGCACTATCAAAAACAATAGAGCAATCAACTGGTATTTGTGGCCTATTGGGCCGGGTGCAACACCAAATGAAGCAGATAGCTTAAAACAGAAATGGGGAAAGAGGAAAAGAGAGCCTTGTTCAAGCCCCATGTCATTGCAGGGTGACAGTGGCAACTCAAAGCCTCATCCTCTAATGAGTGACACCAAAGGGGG